GAATATTTGATGGTGTTTCAGTATGCTGATAAAGGAAGTCTTCATAAATATTTAAGAAGTAATTTTAGAGAACTTACTTGGCAAAATAAATTGCAATTACTGCGAGATATTTCATGGGAGTTATATCGTATTCACGACAGTGCAGGATACATTCATGCTGACTTTCACAGTGGCAATATTTTGCATGACCAACGCAATAATGAAAATGCACAATCGTATATCGCAGATCTGGGATTGTCCAGAAAGAAAGACGATAAAAACGCTGAGAAAGACGATATTTATGGTGTTATGCCCTACGTCGCTCCGGAAGTTCTATTAGGAAAAGGGTTTACGCAAGCAGCCGACATTTATGGCTTCGGCGTTATAATGGCAGAAATGTCAACTGGAAAAAGGCCTTTTGACGGGTGCGATTTCGATACTAAACTTGCTGCAAGAAATCAAAATTATTTTCCTTAATACCGGCCAAGGTCTTGAGCGCAACGATGCTGGTTGGTTCACGTGCTCTTTTATAATTATACCTTTCACCATCGATTTTTCGTATGCCATCCAACCAAGTTGCAGAATATACGGAGCCAAATCCACCTTTTCCGATTTCTTTAACATCGGATAATCTATCAAACGGAATCCATTCAATTGCATCTTCGTATTTCTGAGCTCTAAGTTGAAATTCTCTAATACAATCATCAATATTTTTGTTTCTACTCGTCCATCCTTGTGCTGTGATGTCGGGATCACATGTCAGACACCATGCAGGTGAAGTGTTATTTTCATTACAGTGTGCACATTTGCCGTATTCAGAATATCTTTGTAATTATATAAATTTTATTATTGTTTTTTTTTTACATTCGTTAATAATTTTAAAATTATACTCACCGACTAAATTAATACGAATGAAAAGAGTATTTATTAATAGGTAATTAATTGTAAATAAGTATTTAGAGATAAGTAAGTATTTATGAATAAGTATTTATGTTATGATTTCAATTCCACTAATTAACGTTAATAAATCATCTTTATACTCACCGACTAAATTAATGCAAATGAAATGATTTGAAGGGTATTAGATAATTAATTGTAAATATAAGTATTTAGAGTTAAGTATTTATGAATAAGTATTTGTGTTCATGATTTTAATTCCACTGATTAACGTTAATAAATCATCTTTATACTCACTCACTGAATGGAATGATTTAGGTAATTAATTGTTAATAAGTATTTAGAGATAAGTGTTTATGAATAAGTATCTATGTTCATGATTTTAATTCCACTTATTAACGTTGATAAATCATCTTTATACTCACTAACTGAATGAAGTGATTTGAAGAGTATTAGGTAATTAATTGTAAACAAATATTTAGAGTTAAGTATTTATGAATAAGTAATTATGTTTATGATTTTAATTCCACTGATTAACGTTAATAAATCATCTTTATACTCACCGACTAAATTAATGCGAATGAAATGATTTGAAAGGTATTAGATAATCAATTGTAAATAAGTATTTAGAGTTAAGTATTTATGAATAAGTATTTATGTTCTTGATTTTAATTCCACTGATTAACGTTAATAAATCATCTTTATACTTACTCCCTGATTTGAAGGGTATTAGGTAATTAATTGTAAATAAGTATTTAGAGATAAGTATTTATGAATAAGTATTTGTGTTCATGATTTTAATTCCACTAATTAACGTTAATAAATCATCTTTATACTTACTCACTGAATGGAATGATTTGAAGGGTATTAGATAATTAATTGTAAATAAGTATTTAGAGATAAGTATTTATGAATAAGTATTTATGTTCATGATTTTAATTCCACTGATTAACGTTAATAAATCATCTTTATACTCACTCGCTGATTTGAAGGGTATTAGATAATTAATTGTAAATAAGTATTTAAAGATAAGTATTTATGTTCATGATGTTAATTCTACTAATTAATGTTAATAAATCATCTTTATACTCACTCGCTGATTTGAAGGGTATTAGGCAATTAATTGTAAATAAGTATTTAGAGATAAGTGTTTATGAATAAGTATTTATGTTTATGATTTAACTGTTAATTCTACTGATTAGTGTTAATAGTTAATAAATTATCTTTATACTTACGGGCTAATAACATAACAAATAAAATAAATATTTATGAGCTTAAATTTCAGATTTTAATATGTAAATTAATTTATTTTTTTATCTTACTCTCTGATAATTAAAATTATATTATATAAGTAAATTTCTAATTTTAATGAAAAAATTATAGAAGATTAATTAATATTTACTTACTTTTCAATCCATTTCCAAAATTTATCTGTATTTTGTTCCACACCAATTCCGTAATAGTAACAAATGGCAGTTTTAAAGATTCCGTTAGAATTGTTCATTTCAGCTGATATTAAGTAATGCTCAAATGCTTTGTGTTTATCCATTTCAACACCAATTCCATTATAATAACAAAAGCCAACTTGAAACATTCCATTAGAATTATTCATATTTGCAGATTTTTGATAATGTGTAAATGCCTTATTTTCATCCTTTTCAATATCAATTCCATGTTCATAAAAATAACCAAGCATGAATATTGCATCAGAATCTCCTTTATCTGCTAATTTTTGATAATTTGTAAAACTTAATTGACCTAAATTGTTAGTTATTTTGATAATTTTTTCATCTGACATTTTTTTTATATAAATAAAAACGAAAAATATGCTAAAAGAAAGAAATTGGTTTGTTTTTATAAATTGTCTAGTCTCTAGGTGATTCGTATGTACGTTCGTATTACAGATCACTATAAAGGTCCAATTTATAAATATAATATTTTGAGGGTGTTACGATTTTCATTGCATTGGTATATATGATGCAAATTAGAAATTTTAGTTTTGAACCTTTTTTTCTTTTTTTTTAAATTTAAGCCAATTAAATAATTATAATAATAACGATAAATAAATTCTTTAAAAAAAAAGATGGATAAAATGTCTGCTAGCGGAGAGACACGTGTATTCGGTTAATATAATTTTAAAAACAATTGTGCTATAAAATTCAAATTTATTATTGATAAATATTTATTATTATAGGTCGTAACTCTGATAGTATATTTAAGGAATTGGATCAAATACGTAAAAAACAAATAACTTTAGCCGTCGAACATATTTCGTTAGAAAACTTACCAGATGAAGAAATGTACTATCCACTACTGTTTTAGTGTTGTAATTTATTTATCTACAATACCTTTTTCTTATTTAAATAATCAAATATGATGTTTTTTAAAGGTCATTTGCTAAAGAACCAGCAGAAGATTCTGAAGAAAACTTTAAAAAGAATTCAGAACAATTTGCAAAGAAAGAATATGATCTAAATAATTTGATGACGAATTTGAATAATTTAATAGGAAAGGTTAGTATAACTTAATATTTTTTTTATATTAATATTAATTATAAGAATATAGAATAATACTGAAATTTTAACAATTTAGTTGGAAGATTTAGGTCAATCTATGAATATGTTCGATCCAAAATAGCAGGCTTTTATTTTCGTAATTTGATCACTTGATAATTTAACGTTTTTAAATTATAATAAAACGCTTTCTTCTTTGAAAAACAAAATTTATTCTTAATCCCTTTTGCGTTGCTTCCTTTTGTTCATTTTAATCATTATTTTTTAAAAGCAATTATGCAAAAAGTTCGATGTAATAGCAAATATATTGGACATCTATACTCATTAATTAAATTAATACAAATAGAATTAAATAATTGGTATGTAGTAATAGTAAATCCTATTTTTTATTAGCAAGAAAACTCGTTTATTTATTTATTTATTACTATTTATTTTTTAAAAAATTAAAAAATTTGTTTTTATTTAAATTTTTTTTTGAATTATTCTAGATTATTATACTGCAATAGAAAATTAGATGTAACAATAGAATTAAATCATTCTTTGTCTTAAAGGTATTAAGAAAGATATTATTGTATCATTGCAATATACGAAGCTGATCTTGTGATAGATAGCCCGCGAACGAAATTTGCAAATTAATCTCGCAACAGCACTGGACTAATTTGTCATAATACCTAGATTTAGTTGGGCCCTTCTATATGTCCAATTATTTTTTCTGAATTGGACATATAGAATTTTATATGTCCAATCGCGCAACTTTTATATGTCTAATTTTTGTCCAAGGCCAACACTGCCTAGAGTTTCGTGAAATTGATTTCACCGATTTACCAATTCATCAACTTTACCTATAGTGATGAAATTATTTCACTACAGCAATTTCACCAATATCTTTAGTTATAACTTTATAAAAAATAAGAACTTAATTTAGTATAATTTTACCTGAACATTAAGCAACTAATTCTTGACACTTCGATAAAAATATTACACTGTTTCATATAATATCTATAGACTTCGGATTACCAATATGGCAAGATAAAGATTTATATTTTTCGTTTCTGTTTCAATATCGAAACTTTGGCTCTTTTAAAACTAGACACACTCTACATAAGTAAAAGCAACGAGACTTGTTATGTCTAAATAAGGTACCGGTACGATGCTACCCTTCTTATTACTAAGTCAAAAGCCTCAATATCTGATATATTATGAATTGTGTCAAAGATGTAAAAATAGATTTTGACGGAAGATTGAGGAATGTTTTATGAATAAAGCATCTCGTATTGGGTTAATAAAATTCATTCCCCATACTGTATATTTAAATCACTCAAAATCATCTTTAATAAGATAATCTGAATTGCCTTCTACCATTTTTCGTTAGTTTTATGTCACATGAACACGCATTTTATTTAGTGACAAAGTCTCATATTTCCCGTATATAACAATAACACTTGATTTATTAACCATTCTCCTACGTATAAAAGATGCACAGTATCTGTTTTCTTACGTAGCATACGGCTGAACGTGTTTTTTTATTGACCAATCAAGGCAATCAATCGACTTGGATAATCAAGCCGATTTTTATAGTCGTAAAATAACGATAAGGTTAAGCTACTTTGCATAAATCTTGCTTATACTTAAAATAAGAATATTCACCTTTTTAGATTACGTTATATCGAATGCTTCATCTCACTGTCATCATTCTACATAATCGAAGTTTACAATGAATTTAAAATCATTATTTTTTTGTTCGCTACAATATTTATTTTGCTGTATCGGCTATAAACCAAAGAGAAACGAATATTTCGTATACTACATTCAATTACGTAAACAACACAAATTGTCTGTGCGTTCGAAGCGTAATGTAATATAAACATAAGAAAGAGCTGTGGTATAAGTCTTATAATACGCATCATGTGACAAAGTCGAGATTTTTGATGTAGATGTCAAGTACTATATTAAGAAGTTTTATGCAAACGAAAGTAAGTGTTAAAACTTTTGACATCCAAATATCATAAAAATAATAACCAACAACAAATATATAATAGTACCCAATCATCAATGCAGCATTGTTAATGCATGACGGAATAACCAGTAATTTAGTAATTTACATAGATGCGTGCAACCAAACCAAATACATAAATAGGTATATAATCAAAATTTTACATTTTTCGCGCGATGTAGTTTATACAATTTACGGATTCTCTCATTCATTTATTCTTTTTCATTTTGTCAGATTCTTTTTCCTTTTGTCAGATTCTTCATTCCTTCGTTTTAAACACTTTACAGATTTCATATTGGTTTGTTTATAATAGAAGTTTTTGTGGATAATCAAAATCCACATTCTTTTTATGTATTTTCTGTCGAATAGTCACATGTTATTGGATCATAGATATAATAATTATAATAACGATAATTTATATTAATTATTTGAGAATATGTTTTTATCAAACAGGAGAAAGTCAACTTCAACAAAATCTGCTGTAACTCCTTCCGCAAAAACAATAACTACCACTACTACCAAACTTCCTACCTCTTTAAATATTCCTAAACAAGATTCAATAGCTGAAGAAACAAAACCATTAGACGCTCCAACACCAAAAGAAGCTGCAACAATTACAAAAACTACTACTACAACTACCGTTACTACGGTTACCACTACTACAGTTTCTTCTAAAAACCCTGATGGTAGTCCTGATATCGGGAATCCTAATATTAACCCACTTGAATCTGACAAATGTAAAAATTCTTCCATAGTTTCTGATGTTGAAGATGTGTGTAATATCAGAAATCCTCCTTCTAGTTCTTCAACTTTTCAACCTGTTGCATCGTCTTCTTTCAAAGATTCAATGAAAGAAAAATATGATTTATCATTTGCATCAAAACCATCAGCTATTTATGATTCTCGCCCTCTAATAAATATAGTTCCTGCTAATTCTTCATCTGAGAATGATGCAAAGAAATCGATTAATGACGATAATAATATTTTTGATCCTCCAATTATTAATATAGTTCCTACCAAATCTTCATTACCTGTTAAAATTAACCAATCTAAACATGATGAATCTTTAATAACTGTCCCTCACATTTTATCAAATCCTTCCTCATCTTCAAATGTTCTAATACCTTCTTCTACTAAACCTTCCGTACCTTCACTCTTGGATAATAAATTTCGTCGTAATAGAAGTTCAACTATAGTTAATATGAGTTCTTTTTCAAAGCCCAAAAGTTCGGATATTGGAAATTCTTTGATCGCTAATAAAGATGCTAATAAAGATGTTAATAAAGATACTACGAAACAACCTCGAAAACGTCAACTTAAACGTATGGGATCAGCCCCTACTCTAAACATTCCTTTTATGTCTATGACTAAGAATTTTAAAATTCCTTCGACAAAATCTATGACAAATTTGAATGAGTTGGAAGCAAAATCTGATAGTGAAACTCCAAAACAATATCTTGAAAGGATGATGTATAGTATTTCAAGATCAAAATTAGTTACAATAATAGCACAAAAGTGAGATACGAATTCTTTATTCATACGTGTTTAAATTGAACAACATATATATGTATTAAATCGTACATGTTACTTTTTCTCAATTTATAGAACAGATACTTTTCATCAATCTGCTCTTAAAGCTTATATGGAATCTTTTGAATTTGAAAAAGTCCCTATTGATCTTGCTTTAAGGTATATATATTTTTTTATGAAAACAAAATATTTATAAATAATTTACTAACTAAATATAACTATTATTTAATAAGGAAACTTTTAATGGATTGCAATTTACCAAAAGAAACTCAACAAATTGATCGAGTTATAGAAGCATTTGCAAAAAGATATCATGAATCAAATCCTGATTTATTTCCTTCTGCAGGTAAATTATTGTTTAATTTATTGATAAAATGTCATGTAATTTCATTAACATATCAATTTATACTCTTTTTTTTTTTTTTTTATAGATACTCCTTATATTCTTGCTTTTTCTTTATTAATGCTTCACACAGATGCATATAATAAAAGTGTGAGACGAAAGATGACAAAGGAAGAATTTGTCAAGAATACTCGTATCGATGGTGTTAATCCTGAAATATTAGAGGTAATTCTATCAATAGCATTTGAATAATTATTTTATTCAATTTCCTTACTTATATTTTATTAACTGTTTTTTTATGTTATAGATTCTTTATGATAATATTACTTTCGCTCAATTTATATATGCTCAAGATGATACCGATGTTAATGGTCAAACGATGCTTGAATCTCCAACACAACATCGTCAGATGAAATTTTTCTCTTCAAAAGAACGAAGGAAGTCTTCGCGTCCTAGGAATGATCCTTACTGGGTTATACAGACCGTAAGTTCATAATTTAATTCAAATGAATTGAAATCTATAAAGTTTTTATTAATTTGTCGATTTATTTTTATAATAGAAATTACCAACTGAATTTAAACCAAAAATCAAAGATATTGTTCCTACAGAAAATCCATATTCTTACATGGGAACCCTTCCAGCTTTAGATATTGCTGACCTTCATCGTGCATTCTCTGCTCCTAACACTATTCGGATCACGGGTGTTCAAAATAGACGTAAGAGTCATGCCTTTAAAAGTACCTCGAGTTCTTTCCAATCAACAAATGAAGATGGAACCTTCCTTTTAAAGATAACTAAAAGTGGTAAACTTGGAAGAAAGGTCGATTTAATAGATGGTAAAAAGAAATCTAGTTTTATAAGGAGTTGGAGAATATATGGTGTCATATTAAGTGGTAGTCAGTTGATGTTCTTTAAAGATGAAGCTGGGTTTAATGCTCAGATGAAAAAATTAAAAAATTCCGAGGTTGGTTTGTTTTTTTCGACGAGTTTCTTATAAATACGCGCGTATTCATTTATTATATATCGTTTATTATTATGAATTTTTAGAAATCTGCAACGTTACCTGTCCTAAAACCTGACGCAATACTCATGACCGCTGATTCTGTGGCGGTGTATGATAAAAACTATGAAAAATATAAAAATGTATTTCGTTTAGTATGTCCAAAAGGTCATCAATATTTATTTCAAGCCGAAAGTGATGCAGAAATGAATGATTGGATATCAAAAATTAATTATGGGGCTACATTTAAAACTGCTGGATTAAAAATGAGAAATATTCGAAATCCAAGTGTTGGACAACAAAGGAGAGGTACTACTGGTAATGGATTGAGAGTTGGTGTTGGAATGTTCGGACTCAGTCATGATGCTGCTGCTAAAGAAGCTCAAGGTCGGGTTAATTTGGTTAGGGTATGTTTATGTATTTGAATTATTTTATTTAATTATTTCATTTAATCTATTATTTATTTAATATTATATTAATTTATCTATTAATTCATATTTTATCTATATTTTCTATTAGGCAAAAATTGATGAACTTCAAGGAAAGATTTCAGCATTAACATCACAACTTCAAACCGACATTCGATTCCGAAACAATCTATTTCTAATGATACCATATAAAGCATCAACAAGAGATCGTATATTACAAGTAGCAACATCTGTAGCTTCACGATTAAAACATACATGTTTAGAATTAAGTAGACTTGTATGTTATAACGAAATTCTTGAAAAAGATTTATGTTCAACAGTAATGGAAGATACAACATATTGGCAAAATCGAAGAAGTTATTTTACACCTGGAGATAATAGTACGGATGATACATGTAATTCATTTTTATTTACTTCAACAAATTTTCCTTCAATAACTTTAGGTGTTCCAGAAACTTTTGGTCAACTATTTGTAAAAGAACCTATTAGTAGTAGTAATAAATTACTTGATCCAGCTGAAAGAGATGCTGAAAATAATTTACGACCTGCTACTATGGCTTTGTTACCTTGCGCTTCTACAACTTCTTTATCTTCAAATTCAAGTACTGGTGGTTCAAGTAGATCTACACTTTCTATTAATGGAGATAATGAAGAGGAATATGATTTTCATGGAAATGTCTCTGAATATGAACTTGAAATATTTCCACGAAATGGATATCGCAATGAAGAAGATCGTGATGATATTAGTTTTAGGGATGATGCTAGTAGCATAATTATGCTTGATGATATTAAAGAACAATCATCTTTAGTTAATAAAAATGAATCTGAAGAATATGAAGCTAGTTTAATTGATATTGAGACAGAATATAACGGTGAATGTTCTTATGATAAAGTGGAAATAAATGTAGTAGAGCCTACCAAAATTATATCACCATCATCTTTGGAAAATGAGAAAGAAAGTAAATCCGTAAATGAAACATTTGTTCCAAAAGATCAATTAAATATTTCCCAAATTCAGTTAGATTTAAAACCTGAAAGCACAACCTTAGATTTAGGAATAAAGAACAAAAACGAAGTAACGGTACCAGTTCTCGTTATATCAACTGTTGAAGAAGAATCAAAGGATGAAGTGAATGATGGTTATGCTTCGGATGATGGTGGTGACCAGTTTGTTGACGCTGAAGAATGGGGATCGTAATTTTAGTAACCACCATTGTTGGTTGTAATTTTAATAAGGATTAATGATTTTTTTTTAATTATTTTATAGTATAATTTTTTTTCAATTAACAATATACCTAAAAAAATATATGCCATTTTATTTATTATTATTTTGTATATTATCTTTTTGTAAATTTGAAATTTAATTTTTTTTAATAGATTTATATTAATAGAGATCATATTAAATATTTATTTGATTAATTTTTTTTTTGCAATCTGTTAAAATTTTATTAACACTAATTAGACTAATTATTATATAATTCACTAATAATCAATTCAATTATAGAGTATTGTATTCAAAATATTACGGACTTTAAATTTAACATAGTTAAACATTTTTTTATTAAATATGATATCATTTTTTAAATAATTAGAGATGTTATCCTGCTTAAAATGCTCAAAACTGCTTAATAAGATTTGCTCAGTATTACTATAATTACTTTTTGATATATATCTAATTAAACTTATTCGTAATATTTTTAAGAACATATTTTATTAATGGCAGTCAATAATTTAGCTCGATTTGAAGGAGATATTACTATTTTTAATGCTCAGAAACCCTGTTTATGAAACTGGTTTGCTTGAAACTGCTCAGAAGCAATTATTCATTTCGAGTATGATTTTTTAACTATTCTCTACTAATCAATCTTGTTATTAACATCTTTTCGAATGAAGTTAATTATTACGAAAAATTATTCTGACTGTTTTTTAGCAAGTTATTTTGAAAGTTAGTTTAGGTTACACGAAGTAGGATAACACCTCTATAAATAATATTAAATTATATTCTATTTTATTTTTATTTATTCTTATTTTTTTATTTTTTATTTTTTTTGACTCGGGACATTATGTAATACCTCGCAAATAAAAACATTATTTCACCTTAAATTCGAATTATTGGTTATAAAAACCAACCCTAAATATTTATATATACTGTATGAAGTGCATTACCATGACCATTATTCCTTATTGCTGTACATATATATCTGATATGCTCTTCAGTACGTACAGTACAGAACGTATCGGTATGTAGGTTCTATTTAAATTTATCCGAGATTATATGAACCAATTATTCATAGTGCATACTTGAGCATAGGTTTAAATAAAGTAGTACACATGAGTCATCATTGTGAAGTTAACTTATTAAACTTCTTTGTCAGAGACCAATAGAAAAAAAAAAGACAACGAAAATAAACAAGTAAGGTCGATCTTATATTTCGAACAATACTGCAATAATGTCTTAAAAAAAATTAATATGCATAATATTTTATTTTTTTATTTTTATTTTTGTAGAAATTACGTAAAGAACATGTTTATGTTATTTGCATAATCCCGAACAAAAATTTTCTATTATTTTAATATATTATTGGTTATTATTTTTAGCTTATATAAAACTCTTAATAACTCTTAATTGCACAATTATCTTTGAACAAATTATTTTTACTACTATAAGGGGTTTTCATAATTAATGATTCGACACCTGATTTCGAATGAAATAATTAACGTATTTATTTTGAAACAAGTGATTTACAAAGTACAGTATATTTTATTTTTGTAAATGTTTATTTGTAATCATGACGCCCTTATTTCATTTTCTGATTTTGAAATTTAAAAATATAATTCAGATTTTTTAAACTCCCACTTATTTTTGAAATATGCTATGTAATTATGAAACACCTTAAATATTATTTAGCAAAAAATTGGTATTACTGTATTCTATATTCAATACAAGTAAGGTTGGTAAAAAGTAGTCTGAAGCGCGTCCAACGTTTGTGTAACATAACATCGAAGACTTTTTCAATAAATCGCCCGTAACTTTAAATTTGACTAAGAAACCACCTTTGGCGTACTAATTAAAAAAATTTCTTGCTAAATTTTGCATATATACCACTTTGCTAAAATCCCAGGTCTCGCCCTAACCCTAAAGTTCTAAATTCAACGTTTTATTAGTAAAAAAACTAACAAAAATAATGTTTTTTTCCTTCTTTGAGTTTGTATCACCGGCGTAAATAAGTAAATCAGTCTGAAGCACCCCCAAAAAATGGGTCATAGCTGACACTTTTCAATAAATTTTGAGATTTTTGATTCAAATTAAATGCGCGGCAGATTCTCGATTTGATTGGCTAACATAATTTACAAAAAAAACATGCTAAAATTACTAAAAATTTTACTAATGAAACCACGGCCACCCATTAGGGTTGGTTGTTAAGACTTAGCTGACAATGTAATTTACATGGTAATTTACATGTAATTTACTGTAATTTACGTTATGTAAGTTATAGTAAATTACGTGTAAGTTAACAACCCTAATGTTACGGGCGGGTGAGTCGTTTTTATACTTAAAGTTTCTTGCCAGAGGCGTGATGTTGGCGATTTGGTATTAAAGTTTATTAGTTTACCCGAGTCTATGTTTTTATGAACGTTTTTATTATAGGTTTCAAGGTTTGGTTTATAACTTTATTAATTTTGATTTCAGATTTATGCACAGTTTATTCTAAGGGGTTCTTTAAATGATTATCGTATTATTATGGTCCCGAAGGAGCTTACTTTACATAGGAGATATTACAGCTCTTTTTATAACATTTTGACTTTTAGGGCTAAGGTAAGTTTTCCTATATTACTCTTGTTTTCTATTCTAACACGATATGTCTGTTTTCTTTATGACATTTCATTCGTCACCGTTCTCGTCACCGTTCTCGTCACCGTCCTCGTCATCATTCTCGTCATCATTCTCGTCGTCATCATTCTCGTCACCATCCTTGTCACCATTCTCGTCATCATTCTCGTCATCACTTACAATTCGTGTAACAACACAATGATAGGTGGGTGTGTTTATTCTCGGTAATTACCCTATCTGTCAATCTTAACATCGCCACCTTACATCTGTAGGCGCAGCTCCGACCTACCTTCCGGGCTGATCCGGGTCAACAAAAAATTCGTGATTTGATTGGTTAATTCACGTGATTCTACCCCGCTTTAGACGACCCCTCAAAATGGAAAACCCCTTCAGAGACGGGTTTTCCTAGTGTTTTCCTACGTAGTCCATGACCCATTTGGATTGCAATGCTATGCTACATTCTTAAATCACATGATGTTCGTTTTTGAAAGCAAATGAAACGAACACGTTTATTTTTTTTACATATCGGTTTTGCGTGTGTAATACCGAATTGGTTAATTTAATGCATATCGACATGTACATGCAACTACGCAAGAATTAGCCAATTTTAGGTTGTCGCTCAATTCCCCGAAAACCACTTACCCGACAGTCCATTTACCTGATATCACATAGAGTGACAATTTAGCATTTAGTTAGCTATAGGTATATTTTATTAGTAAATTTTCACCTCATGTGATGTCGGGTAAATAGACTTTAGGGTAAGTAGTTTTCGGGGAATCGTACCGTAACCCCAATTTTATATATGTTCTATGCAGAGGGCCATAATAATGTTATTGATACGTAAAATTTTTGAAAAAGTAGCCACTGCTCCAAGTTTGAAAGACTTTTAAAAATTGAGTTAAAGTTTCAAATGTGATCTATGCCAATATCCTAAATGGGTGATGGACTAGGGAAAATCCCTATTTGAAAGTAAGTTTATTAATTGCCAAATAGGGTTTCATCACCTATCGTTAAATGACTTATGGAGACTGGTCAGTAAAACAAACAAAATTGTAGTAAACCCAAAACTTTGATTAGACTGATATTGATTAAAGATTCTAATATGACGTATTATCTCGTTCCTGAGGCTTATATAATATTATTTTTATACTAACCCGATCAGTTTAGACTAGTGACAATGAGTAGACTAAATTATTTACAACCTTGAAGTTATAGAGCTGATAAAAAAATCTTCACTGTAACTTAAATCGCGAGGATACTTCAATATATCGAAATCTTAATTATAACGAATTTTCATTATAACGAGAGTGAGTTATGTTGATTTTCCTTAATTGAGATTTGAGATAACGTTATTTCGAGACAAATAATGATATTTTTAACATTTAAACAAACTATTTTTATAAGTATTACTATATAATAATAGTAGAATATATTGATTAATTTTGATTGAAAGAACGTTAAAATCGTTTTGTAATAAATAAATCTCAGAAGCAACCAGTTTTAATTCCCACAATAACATAGAAAATAAGGTTAGGTTATAAATATTATTTTATGTTTATGTATCGGTATTCTTAGTTATTCACACATTGATCAACATTTATCGGAAACATACGTACTGTACTGTACGTACGTACAGACTTTAATTCAGTTCATATTTGTTAGAACACAACCCGAGATAGTAAAATACCGGCTCAGTTTAGGTACTTTGATGCAGATTAAAGCTAAGGATTTTCATTGTAAAAAAGGTTTGGCATAGATATTATTCTTTCATAGGATAAAGAAAACACGTCATATCTAAATCGAGGTTCCACTGTACGTCTGTATGTGCCTAAATAATAGTGATAGATAGGTGAATCCAGTATCATAAAATCCTTATCGGTAAACCTTTTAAGTACAACAATTGTTCATGCAGTTTTTCATTGTTCGTTTTTTTTTACGCTGATTTGATTGATTACAAAAAAAAATTTATTATTTTTAAATAAATATCGCATCTACATCTCTAATAATTAATTCAACTCTTCACGTTAACTCGTAACGAATAATTGTAGAGACGTCGACTTACTTTACGTAAACTATGGAAGCAGATGCAGTAGTAACTTTAGAGGGATTACCTACGGGATTACCGACGGTAGATGGAGAGAGGGAGACTGAATCTACCGATACATATACGAATTCATCCATATCACGTTCCCCATCGCTAGAATCGTCCGAAGATCGTCCACTTTTATCAGATGATGAGCGTAATTATGAATCATACGAAGATGTGGATGAAGTAGTAAATAATGGCTTTTCTGGCTCAAGTTGGGCTGCGTATGTCAGTGTAACGTGAGTAAAACGTTCTTTACATTCATTATTTGAAAAAAATGTCGCATTTATTTATTTGTTATTTTATTACTATTTGATTCATAGTTGTGTGGTTGCTGGAACTGGTGTTTTAGGCTTACCTTATTCAATCAAGCAAGGTGGCTGGATAAGCTTGAGCTTGATCCCTTTGTCAATGTTAATAACTTTGCACACAAGTGTCATTTTAATAAAATGTCTATATTATAATAAAAATAAACTCTATGATAGTGATAGCGATAGCGATAATAGCCGTATTAACCATAGGTATGTGGATTCTATTTTTTTCTTTAAATTTTCCGCGAATTATGTTCATTAATACTAATTTATTCTTCCCAAATTTAGAAAACGTTGTTTGAATTCTTATGGTGATATAGGATATCAAGCATTTGGAAATTTTGGAAGATATTTTATGGTTGGAATTTTCAATAGCACGATCTTGCTCGGTGTTCCTGTATTATTTTTTATCCTGGCCGGACAAAGCCTTGATAGTCTTGTAGATCAAATTTGGAATATTCAATTAGGTGTTCGTGTATGGACCAGTATATCTGCTGCAATAGTTGCTTTGCCATTTATATTCACGAAAACATTGAAAGAAGCCGTTATTTTAAGGTTTATTTCAAGTCGTTTATTTCGCTAATTATTCGCTAATTTATTGATTAAAATTAAATAATAATATTATCGTTTTTTTTAAATCAGTGTTTTTGGTGCTATCACCACTTTCTTTACTGTTATCGCTATTATGGTACTTTCATTCTCCGATCTTTCAAATGTTCTTAAATCTCCTAATCCGCCATCGCATAGTTTACTTGCTATTTCGGAACTTCCTGTTGCGCTTGCGTCAATCTCATTTTCATTTGGTGGAAATAGCGTTTTTCCTCACATAGAAGGAGGCATGCAAAGTAAGTATAATAACTTGTTCACCCACTTGCTTATTATTATTTTTTTTAACCTTTGTTTGGGACTTTTTTTTTCAAAGATAAAAAGAATTGGAATAAAGTTGTTGCAGCAGCTATGGCAACATGTGCGATTATGTATGCATTAGTTGCTGCTAGCGGATATTATGTATATGGTAATGATACGATGAGTCCTATTTTCCTCAATTTACCAAAAGGTATTATCAAGTTTTTATTATAGTGAAATAATACCTTGAATAAACTTAAATTTTATCTATTATTCTTGTTATTTCACAATATTGTAATCAACTTGTCTCAAAACCATCAATATTAACGGTAATTTTAAACTTATAGGTCTAATACTGACAACAGCATCTCTATTTATAACGATACACGTACTCATGACTGCTCCGATTCTTTTAACGTCTTTCGCTTGTGATGCTGAAAGTTATTTAAAAATAACTAATGAATATCATTCTCCTTGTATCGAATTTGCTCTTCGCGCCTTGTTCAGAACAGGTCTTATTATTTCATGTGCAGCTGTTGCTGTATTGGTCCCATTTTTTGGGTTCGTATTCTTTTTTTAGCATACAATTTTAGTTTTTCTGTAAGTTCTAACACTTTTTTTTTTTGTTTTTAGAGATTTTATGTCTCTCTTGGGTGCACTCTCAATGTGTGTTATCGTTTTCATTTTCCCGGTAGTTTTTTATTTGAAGTTATTTGGTTGGAGAAATTTTTCTATCTGGGAATTATTGTGGAATGCATTTGTGATATTAGTAGGTGTGTTTGGTTGTGTAGTGGGAACCAAAGATGCTGTAGTGGCTTTGGTGAGAGATTTTCGTGAGATGGGTGTCAACAATTAAGTTTACATCCATGTACAGTAAAAAAAAAAAATCAAATCAAATCAAACACACACACATATCGTTATTTTATTTTTTATTTTTTGGTGTTATTTTCTTTTTAGAGTTTTAGAAAAAAAAAAACAATTCTATAAATTTTGTATTTTTCATTATTTTGTCAAAACTCGTATATATATCATGTACTTTATATATCTTGAATTGTATGAGTGATGTCAAAAAAATGCCCAGAAATCTCAAAAGGATCAGATTTTTGGGTTTTCTTTTGACATCATTCATGTGTAAAAAGTATTTACTATCCTATATCTAAATATACTGTTAAGATTTAAATATAAAAATTTTCTCATTCTCACATTATTCTTATATTAATTAATATTAATATTAATTACTTTATGTAAAATTAAAAATTTATGTAAAAAGAAGTTTATACTTCAATGGTTATATACTGTACTTAGATGTCGATGCAGTTTTAAAGTTATCTAATCATTTTCCAAATGAGTGTCGCCAAAGAAAAACCAGACTTTTGGCTTAAAAGTTTATTTCATTTTGGACTCAATCACTATAAGCCGGAAGTCTGGTTTCCCTTGGCATCACTCAAATCTTCTACTATTTTAAACTAACATTTAGTATAACGTTAAAATTTGTTCTTACAGTATCGGGAACGATTTGTGCAATAGTACTTACCCGAATTTTGAGAGCTCATCTCGGATAATCTGGTTTTTTTTTTTTTCTAACGAAATAGGAATTTCATTAAAAAACAAAAACGTGAACTCTTTTAAATTTACCAAAAAAACCCCCTTTACTGCCTTATTTTTGGTTTAGCATCAAATCTAATAATCCTCCTTTTCCATGTAAACTATTAAATCGCCCTCTAACGCTAATACTCTCATTCTAAATCATCTTATTAGAACTAACATATTGCGTACACTTATTGAGATTGACTATAACCGAATTCGATGAAAAAATTTTTATACTGTATTTACTTTAAATTATTTTGTAACATTACTAGTGCTATTTTGATGTAATAATTTATCGCGGATTATGCTTTATTTTATTTTATCGATGAATTTATCATTTTTTTGTTTACAATTTTTCAAAAATTTGATTAATTGATAATCCGATATTTATTGTTACTTTTTTGATTTAACAATTATATATATATCAAGAATACGATTTATGCAATATGTAGATCATATCTGATATATTGAATTAACTCCGCTACTACGTATACATAAAATTGTGACGTGCAGATTTATATGATTTATATGATTTACTATATAAAATTGCTAAGCCACAAATGCCACTTCACGACAAAGTAAAGTTATTTTTCTACTAAGTAAATATATCTTCTATTTTTAAGTAAACTTGTAAAACATTATTTTTCTGATTCTAATAGCAATAAGATCATTAAAATCTGATTTGTAGATGCTGAGATATTGTTAGAAAATTATGTTTTAACTAGTATAAATATACTATTTTTTATATTGTTATAAGTGTTGGTTTTCTTAATATAATACAAGTAACATAAGACATAAAAGAGAGGCTCTTAACAGTGTTCAAATAGAATATTACTTCACTGTAGTAGTTTATTACAAAGTTAATAAAAGAGCAAAGATTATATTTTATTTATGATATAATATTAATAAGGCAATTTCTATTTGAACACGGTGTGTTAATACACTAGGTAATACAAAAGTATTAGAGAAGCCAATCAAAATTCAAGATCAAGTGTAACATGTAAATCTTTTTTGTGTAACTATAATAAAGAATTTTTTTTAAAAAAATGTGAATATTTAAAATTTTTGCTTATGAAACTGCTTTTGAGGCTCTAAGTAAAAAAATTCCTTGCTTAATTCTACATATAATCCTTGTTTTAACCCAAATTCTAGGCCTCACCCTAACTCTAAAGTTAATTAAATTTATTTTTTTTTATAAAAAATTGTTTATTTTTTATAAAAAATTAAAATCTGTGTTTCAAACACTAGATATTAAATTAGATTTATTCTATTAATAATACAAAATTATTTATTAGTTTTTATGTTTAAAAGAATTCTAATATTAAGAAGATTATAGAAGACAAATCTAATTTGAAGCAAAGAAAAAAAGGAAGATTTATATAGTTTTTTAGAAAAAATAGAAAAAATAAAAAAGATAGAAAAGGTAGAAAAAATAAAAAAAAAATAGAAAAAGTAGAAAAGCTAATTTATTCTATTATTTTTTTTTTTTTTTCCTTAGGCGATCTTGCCTTTCATTTATTAAGAGAAAACATAGGATATGTTACAACAAAATTATAAACTAACTAAACCTAGTTATAAAACTGCCCTCTTGACTTAAATCCAGACTCACTCGGCTGCTTAAAGTGCCCAGGTACGATCTGCTACAATAACAAATTTTCTTCCCAAAAGAGTAGAATGTCTAAACAGGGTCTTACTCTCAAGATCTATAGAAGGCTGCTATGCGCCCGTATTAAAATTGCTTAATTGTTTTTGAAACTTAACCAACTATCTTTCATTCTTCCTTCAATCCAACTTATAACTTTGCTTTCAGCTTCTTTTTGAATTCTTATTTCTTTATCCCGTTCCGACTCCATAACTTCTTTTTCTACTGGGGCTAGGTTTTTTTTATTTTCTTGCTTCTTCCTTACTTTAGTTAGGGAGTTGTGTTTAGACTTTTTCTTCTTTTTCTTGTTATCGATCTCGTTTCTTTTCTCCTATTCTGAAAATATCTCGCAGCGAAACTTCCAAAGCCTCTTAAAGAAGTTTGACCAGAAAATCTCAGTAAACCAGCAAATAGCTTTGTTCGCTTTAGAAGTTGAATCCAAAAGATCCCTAACCTCTGCTACTAAGCTTTTGCTGGTAAGCCTCTGTATAAGGAGTTTTCTTTTTTGAAGCCTAGTTTCTGTATTCGAACCTAAAAAAGTTTCGTTAAGTATTTAGCTTCTTATTATAATTTCCTATTTGGAACTAAGCTATTGCTCTAGCTCCTCTATCATAAACGCTTCTATTTTTTTCCAAATCCCTTGATATATTTGGCATTCCACTAAGTGTTCTAATGACTCTGCCTTTGCATAGCAGGCAATGCAAGTTTTGGTTTTGTAAAGTACCGGATCCCTTTGATAACATAAATCTTTTGTGAGTAATAGTTTGTTGATGCATTTGATTCTGAATATTAGTGCATTACTTTTCCTAATGCTTGTACATCTTTTACCTTATCGATTTTTTAGTGCACTCCATGTGTTGTGCCAGTTCAAATCAGAGTTGCTTAGATCCGTTGTTCTCTGATTAAGTA